GAGCCCATTTTGAATGTAGATTTTAGATTTCTATACTCAATCCAGATGTACAACTGCCTTTGCCCTCTGATAGCGTTTTTCTTCTACTCAGCACCTTTTGCTGTTCCGGTAGAAATGATAATGAGAAAGTATTCCAGCAGGAGGAGCTGGTTTAGAAGCAAATGGATTCCATGGCAACTCCTGACTCTGCATGACACCGAGTAACAAGCCTCAGTGTTGGAAATTGCCTGCATTATCTTCCTTCCCAAGATCAGGTCTTTACGTAGGGGTTTCCTTGTTTTAAATCAAAGATGTTAAGAGTTTTGCATTCTGTGCACGGAGAAGCACAAAAGGAGTGTCTGTCCACGTCAAAATATACGCATAGGCTACTATCCATTGAGCTTCAGGGGTCCCCCCTCCCATGCAGCTCTCAGATAATGATGATGATAATGATAATAATAGCTGAGAAATGCACTGAATTTGGTCCCTTATGAAAAAGCGCTTCTGTAGCAGCAGAAAAAACACAAGCGTTGATGAGGATCAGCAAAATATGAAAGCTGAATCACATTTGGATTGGGTAAGCGGTCAGCAGCTGCAGTAAAACTTGATCTGGAGCAGCCCAGTAGGCTTGCTGTACTCTGGAAACAAGAAGATGCTCCAGTGAAAAACAATTAGTGCTTCCCCAAGTGGAACTTCAGAGGAGAGAAGATGGGCAAGACATTGCATCTTTGTAATCATCTGTGCAGGCTAGGCAGGTATTACAGGGGTGCTACAGGCACCACACAGGTAAGTGGCATAGGGCTGTCATACGTCCGGTTTTCCTGGACATTACTGGGTTTTCAAAGGTGGAGTTGATGTCGGGGGGGTTATGAAAAGGTGGCTTTGTCCTGGATCTTAGGTAAGTCAATAGAAAAAATCACATATTTAAAGTGTGTGTGTGTGTGTGTGTGTGTGTGTATGTTATATATATATATATGCAGGTTTTGGTGTCCTCGGGTGTCTTCCCGTGTAAAGTTGGGGTGTCTAGGCGACGTTTCGACGAGGTCTCACTCGTCATCTTCAGGCTGGTGCTTTCGGCTTCTTGTTACTGGAACAGAGCAGGATCTCAGTGTTTGAGTTCCTATAAATACTGTTGAGGGGGTGTGGTGTATAGCCTCCAATGTTCTGGGCAGAGAGGAAGTTCCCAGGCTAGTGTGCCTTTTCTTCTTTTGTTCCTTAATTACTTGAGGGATATCTTGAGTGATTTCTTGAGTGATATTCCTGAGTACCACTTAGGTGGGTCATTAGGTGTGGATTAGTTGCTAAAGCCTTCGTGTCTTGACCTCTTGAACTTTGTGAAGAGTTTTTCTGAGAAGATGGCTGTACTGCACTTAGTTGTGCTCTGGCTTGGCTTCGTGTATAGGGGCGAGCTGTGGTTTTGTGTCCTGTGCCAGCCAGATCTGTGTAGGGATTGCAGGGGGGTGCAGCATCCGGAGGTGCCACCATGGTTTGGCTACTGGATGGTGTCTGTAATTTATCTGTGGAGAGGGTCTGGGTTTGGGTCTGGTGTGGTTGATTGGTGATGGCGTTCTGTGTGCCTCTGGATCTGGTGTCGGTTTTTGTGGGGAGGGCTAATTTCCAGATGTCTGGCAGGCGGGATGTGTCGTCACGCTTGTTCATGTTGTGAGGGTGTTTCTCTATCTCGATGGCTTCCATGATTATTCTCTTGTGGTGATGTTCCATGTTAAAGAGCAATTTGGAATCTGCAAAATTAATTTCGTGTCCTGTTTCTTTCATGTGTTGGAAAAGAGAGGAAGTTTTTTCTTCTTTTTTGACGGCATTCTTGTGTTCTGCGATACGTGCATTTATTCGTCTGTTTGTTTGTCCAATGTACGTGGCTGGGCAGACTTTGCAGGGTATTTCATAGACCCCTTGGTTTTCCAACTGGATTTTATCCTTGGGGTTTCTGAGGATATTGGCTATTTTTTGGTTGGTGCAAAAGGCTGTTTTGATATTGTGTTTATGGAGGATTTTGCTAATTTTATCTGTAGTGCCCTTGATATAAGGAAGGAGGGCCATGCCATTGTTTTCTTCTGTGTCTTGGTTTTTGGGGGGTGTTTCTTTTTGGATTAGCTTCGTAACCCTGTTTTGCTGGTATCCATTGGCGATTAACACATTGAGAGATTCTGTAACTCAGTTGTCAAGTGGTCTTTGTCAGCCAGGCGTTTGGTTCTGGAGATGAGAGTCTTGGCTACGGAGTTTATTTGTGCAGGGTGGTGGTGTGATTGTGCATGTAAGTAGCGGTTGGTGTGTGTTTTTTTCCGGTAGATAGTGTGTCCTAGGGAGCCATCAGGTTTTTTGTAGATTAGGACGTCAAGGAAGGGAAGTTGGTTGTTGGCTTCTATTTCCATAGTGAATTGTATTTTGGGGTGTAGGCTGTTGAGATGTGTGAGGAAGCTATCTAGTTTTTCCTTCCCGTGTGGCCAAATTACAAAGGTGTCGTCAACATATCTGAGCCAAAGTTTGGGTTTGTGTTCTGACTTGTCTAAAGCATTGGTTTCAAAGTGTTCCATGTACAGGTTTGCGATGACCGGTGAGAGGGTGATCCCATAGGTGCTCCTTCTATCTTGACCGGTGAGAGGTGTGATCACCATAGTCCTTGCTGCCTTCTATCACTGTGCCATTGAGAGCGTGCTCACTTATGGCTTATGTGGTACGGAAGCTGTACTACCCAGGACAGGATGGGGTTGTGCAGAGTTGTTAAGGCAGCAGAGAGCATTGTTGGCTGCCCACTCTCCACCTTAGAGCAGATTTATGCCACTAGGTGCCATAGGAAGGCACTGGACATAGTAAAAGATCCATCGCATCCTGGTCACTGTCTCTTCGAGCTCCTGCCGTCGGGACGGAGATACAGGACGATGAAGACAAGAATGAGCCGTCTTAAGAACAGCTTCTTCTCCAGAGCGATCTCGGCCCTGAATGGGAAGCCTGGACTTTGAAAGTCATCTAATCTTCCTTGCTGTACTATACTGTATTGTTTTAATTAGTGTTTTTATGAGCAGTCAAGTAATTTCGTTGTCCCGAGAGGGGTAATGACAATAAAGATATTATTATTATTATTATTATTATTATATTATTATTATTATTATTATTATTATGGCACCCACCTGAGGGGTGCCAGAACGGGTTCTGTTGAATTCCAGCTGAAAAAAGGCCCTGAGCTTAGCTCTCCCCACCCTCAAAATATTCGGTGTTGGAGAAAATCATTTACCCTGCAATAGCCTGGCCTTCACCAGCTTCTGAACATGCCAGTGTTCAGTCTCACAATGGATCTGATTGTCCTTCTTACAGAAGAGCTGCTTTTTCCCCTTTCAGTTTCTCTTAAGCCGCTTTGTGGGACAGAGGCTTGCGAGTACCTACCCTATATTGAAAGCACACGGCTTCCTCCAAAGAATCCTGGCATCTGTATGTATAAAATGTCACAGTGTTCCCAGGGCAATTAACAAGTACTGTATTTTTCTGTGTATAAGACGTCCCCATGTATAAGACGCCCCCCAATTTTTGGGGACTCCAAATTAAGAAAACACCACCCAGCACTGCCTGTGTATAAGACGCCCCCCCCATTTTTGGGGACTCCAAATTAAGAAAACACCACCCAGCACTGCCTGTGTATAAGACGAGCCCCAATTTTAAACCTAAAAACCTAGTCTTAGACACGGAAAAATACGATACATCTATTAAAAAAACACACACTCAAGAACCGAAAAGCAGTAGGCTTTTTAGTAACTGCTGAATAAAATGTGTCAGGTAGGCCATTTGTATAATCCTCATAATATCGCTTGAGTTAGCAACTCTGCTTGTGCAGTTCTTTTGTTCCTTACAGACGCTCCCTCAGAAATGTGGGTCGCATCCATACTACACATTTAAGCACTCTTTCACCACTTTAACCAACACAGTCAAGGGCGCTGACTTGGGCCCCAGGTTATGGGTGCCCAATGGTACCCGTGACGTAACGTGATGACATCATGATGTCACGTTGTGTCGGTCATGTGGAACCGCTTCTGAGGCCTCACAGGGTCTCGGAGATTATGCCAGAACCTCAAGTTTCTACCAGAAGTCACATTCAGAGGTTTGGCAGGGCCTCGGACATCACTTCTGAGACCTTGCGGGGTCTTGAAGGTCACATCCGAGTCCTCACAAGACCTCCGAAGGTCCTCTGGGAGGTTGCATTGGGGCTCCAACACAACGTCCGGTGGAAACCAGAAGTCACGTCAGAACCCACAATTTTTGGTGCTAGACCTGGCGCCTATGATCACAGTTCCCCCTAAAGAATTCTGGGAACTGCAATTTTTTAAGGGTACTGATTTAAGGCTACAATTCCCAGCACTCTTAAACTACAGTCTCCAGGACTCTTTAAGGAAAGTGGGATAAAAATAATAAATCTCATTTAATTTTAATTTGCTTACAGACAGTCTCATTTGCATTTATCAACTGACTCTTAAAACAAAACAAAACAGATTTGAGGTTAAAGACTAAATAAGTACCGTATTTTTCACTCTATAGGACGCACCCGACCATAGGACGCACCTTGTTTTAGAGGGGGAGAACAGGGGGGGGATTGCCCCTCTCTGCTCAGCGCCCCTTCAGCGAAGCGGCAGGAGAAATGGCTGAAGGGCCGCTGCGCAACTCTCCCTCTCTGCTGAAGCCAGGAGAGTCTTGCTCTCCCGGCTTCAGCAAAAGGAACCCCGCGCTGTGCTCCGAAGGCTTCAGGCGGCTATCCCTGAAGCCTGGGAGAGCGAGAGGGGTCGGTGCGCCCCAACCCCTCTCGCTCTCCAGGCTTCAGCGAAAGCAATGCGAAGCCTCCAGAGCCTCTGCGCTTTGGAGGCTTCGCGTTGCTATCGCTGAAGCCAAGGAGCCTGCATTCGCTCCATAGGATGCACACACATTTCCCTTTAATTTTTGGAGGGGGAAAAGTGCGTCCTATAGAGCGAAAAAATACGGTATTTCATCACTGGTTATTTCCATCGCATACATCTCCTTACCTTGATTGCATTCACTTTATTTTCACCTTGGCTGAGATCCTCAATGGTTTCCATCAGGTCTTTACATGTGTCCAGGTTGCCTCCACAGCTGACCAGCTGCTCATACAATCCTTCCAGCTTCTCCTTCTTCTCTTCCCCCAAAGCCTGCATGACTTCCTCATACCTTTGCTCGAGGGTCAACATGAGATCATTGTAGCCCCTCTCCAAGTTCTGCTCCTGCCTAGCAAAATTCTCCTGGAAAGAGAGCATTTCAGGGTTGGAATGGGTTTGCTGAGCAATTGCCACCCAAAAGATCCACGAAAGACCTACACGACAAACCTGCCTGGATTTTATAATACTGGTTCTGGGCTGCATCAATAGGAGTATAGCATCTAGATCAAGGGAAGTAATAGTGCCACTGTATTCTGCTCTGGTCAGACCTCACCTGGAGTACTGTGTCCAGTTCTGGGCACCACAGTTCAAGAAGGACACTGACAAACTGGAACGTGTCCAGAGGAGGGCAACCAAAATGGTCAAAGGCCTGGAAACGATGCCTTATGAGGAACGGTTAAGGGAGCTGGGCATGTTTAGCCTGGAGAAGAGGAGGTTAAGGGGTGATATGATAGCCATGTTCAAATATATAAAAGGATGTCATATAGAGGAGGGAGAAAGGTTGTTTTCTGCTGCTCCAGAGAAGCGGACACGGAGCAATGGATCCAAACTACAAGAAAGAAGATTCCACCTAAACATTAGGAAGAACTTCCTGACAGTAAGAGCTGTTCGACAGTGGGAATTTGCTGCCAAGGAGTGTGGTGGAGTCTCCTTCTTTGGAGGTCTTTAAGCAGAGGCTTGACAACCACATGTCAGGAGTGCTCTGATGGTGTTTCCTGCTTGGCCTCGGTGGCCCTTGTGGTCTATTACAACTCTATGATTCTATGATTCTATTCTATAATAGGTGTTTTTTTTAAAAAAAGAAGCAGATTTTCCAGCTGCACAAATTTCCCACCAGACACCCCACACTAAAAAGAGAGAAATCTGAATGAACACAAAGCGCGCTTTGCTCTTGGAATCAGTGGCAGTTTCTACATAGGGGCCGGTTGTTGTTATCTACTACGCAGCAACGGTTCATTTATGGATCTGTCTTAATTCAGTAACCTGAACAAACATATACCCCTGCATTGCAAAATGGGACAATCTACCAAAATGCAAACACAACACACTGGCTAATAACTTAGTAAATATATAATCGGTATGATGTCATTCAAAATATACGAATAAGCCACTTCAAAATAATATATATATCATACAACACATCTCACAAAATATACAAGAAACTGCAAGTTGTTATACGTATCAGAGTCAAACAAAGGTTCAAACAACCAATGAATAGCTTAGAGGTGTTTTCCTTTAAGACTTGTGTGAGACGTCTTCCATTGAGAGATGGTTTGGTGTTCAAACCTTTGTTTGACTCTGATACATATAACAACTTGCATATAACTCTTTGGCATAAGGTCAAACCTTACGCCAAAGAATAAACGGACATAAATCTGAACACTTCAATCTCCCAGGACATTCTATACAAGATCTCAAAGTAGCTGTTTTACTACAAAGGAATTTCAGAAATAGACTGGAAAGAGAAGCTGCTGAATTGCAACTTATTACCAAACTTAAAACCACGGAGAGACCTGGTCTGAACAAAGACATTGGATTATTATCTCATTATACATGACAAAGCCATTTTTCACCTTCTCACCCCTTGCTTTTTCCTGTAAGACCTATTGCAGTCGTTAGGAGTCGTCAACAGGCTCATCACAGCTATCTGCCAATCACCCATTCCCACCACCCTTCTGAGTAATACCCCTCCCCACCTTCTCACTATATAGAAGGATCTGGCAACTTCTGTTTCAGTGTATCTGAAGAAGTGTGCATGCACACGAAAGCTCATACCAAGAACTAACTTAGCTGGTCTTTAAGGTGCTACTAGAAGGAATTTTTTTTGTTTTGACTATGGCAGACCAACATGGCTACCTATCTGTAACAACAACTTGCAGTTACTTGTATATTTTGTGAGATGTGTTGTATGATTTATATATTATTTTGAAGTGGCTTATTCGTATATTTTGAATGACATCATACCGATTATATATTTACGAAGTTATTAGCCAGCGTGTTGCGTGTGCCTTTTTGTAGATTCATTCAGTAACCAAGAGAGGTGCAAAACTTCAAGGGTATTTACAAGGACACCCCCAAACATTACCTGCCTGAAGATGAAGGAGGAGAAGAGCAGATTTCAGCCCCAAAGAAGAAGGTATTTTAACATGGTTTGGCAGTTTAAGGAGGAGTTCAGTATGGATGGGGCTTGTCTGATCTCAACTGGTAGGGAGCACCATAAAATTCAGCCCACAATCCTCAACCTGTGGTTTCTAGTGGATATGCACCATGGGGGACTTCTAACAGTGACTCCCCTGAAGACCTCTGTGACTGGGCAGGGATATAAGGGATCAGGTCATCCTTGAAGTATCTTGGGTCCAAATTACTAACTTAATACAAGAACCTTGAACCTGGTCTTGTAGCATGTGAGCAGCCAGTGCCAACCTTTGAGTACTAGAATTATGCGCTGGTAATAGTCTATCTCAAACAACTGTCCAACCGCAGCATTTGGAAAACCCAAAGGTAGCCCCACAATCATGTATTGAGGTCCCATTCTTGAGGTTTCCAATGCATGAAGATGTCTCACCTCGATGGTGATAAAAATTTCCTCCAAGTGGCTAGAAAAGCTCTCCAGGTGAGTGATCTGATCTTCCAGTCTGCATACGTTTTTCCGAAACTCATCCTATTCAAGAAATGACAGCGTTTAGCATACTGGATTATCGTGGAAAGAGAAACCCCTCCTTCCTTTTTTTATATAATATTTTTTATTATTTTAACATATAATTATAAAATGTACCACAAAACTTATCACTTATAACAATCTTTTTAGACTTCCGTCAGCACCTCTGATGATCCACCGTTTTTAACCACTTCTTATGCATTTCTTAGCTTTATATTGCCTTTGCATCTCTTAACAAATCATCCTCCCCCTTGTCCATTTTTACAATAATTCTAATAATACTCCTCACAAAACTTCTTGCAACCCTACAAACGTATCTGTTCTTCACAATTACTTTACAAATAGCCGTATAATTTACTCCAGTCTTCTGTGAATTTCTGGTCACGCCGGGTTTCGAATCCTTCCTGTTAGTTTATCTAATTCTGCATAGTCCATTAATTCATCCTCCATTTCTTCCAATCAATCGCGGTAAACTTCTTCTTGCTTCCATTTTGGGGCCAATAATATCGTTGCTGCTGTTATTGATATAAAAAGAGCTTACATTCCTTTCTATTTATGTCACTCCCCACAATGCCCAATAGAAATGCTTTCTGGTTTCTTTATAAATGTATATTTTCAACATTTTTTTCAACTCATTATATATCATCTCCCAGAAACATTTCACCTTTTTACATTCCCACCACATGTGATAAAATGTTCCCTCTTTTTCTTTACATTTCCAGCATTTATTACTGACTTTATACATTTTCGCTAACTTGTATACCATCTGTACATCCTTTTCATCACATTTTCTTTTAGGGCATTGCATGCAGTAAATTTTAAACCTTCCTTCCATAATTTCACCCAATCACTCAGCTGTATATTAGACCCAAAATCTTTGGCCCAGTGAATCATAACCGACTGAAACCCCCTCCTTCCAGACTGGATTGACTGGTTTTCCATCGTCCCCACCTTTGCAATTTCCACCACGCTGCTAAGAGGAATGACCTCGTGCTCACTGTGGTCGCCACTCTGCTGACCATCGGCTCTGATCGGGACGCAGCACGTAATGCAGTATGTATCTTCCCCTTTGTCGCTCTCTCTTGCGTTGCCCACGGAAGGCAACCTTTGCTCCTCTGTGCCTTGAGTCTTACTGGTTTCGCACAAGCCCAGATCTCGCCTCCGGAAGGGCTCTTCCGAAAAGAGCTCCAGGTCTTCAGCTGAGTCATAAAGCTCCAAGTGGTAGAATCTGGGGGGCTCCGCCTCGTTCTCTTTTGATCCCGTGTCCATTGCAGGAGCGAGAAGGCGGGATGCCAATCTATCCTGCAGAGAGAGTTGTTTGGGTTATGAGCAGCTGAGGAACAAAATGCCACAAGATGTTCAGAACAGGCAGAGGGAGAGCTGCGTAGCCACAATGACATGAAGGAAGAACAAAATACAGTGGTACCTCGGGTTAAGAACTTAATTCATTCTGGAGGTCCATTCTTAACCTCAAACTGTTCTTAACCTGAGGCACCACTTTAGCTAAAGGGGCCTCCCACCGCCACTGCGCCACCACTGCGCAATTTCTGTTCTCATCCTGAAGCAAAGTTCTTAACCCGAGGTCCTATTTCTGGGTTAGCTGAGTCTGTAACCTGAAGTGTCTGTAACCTGACGCATCTGTAACCTGAGGTACCACTGTATAGGCACTTTTAATAAGCAGGAAGAGTTACTTTTGTGTAGCAAAAAAGCCAAAGTCCTGGGGCATCTTAAAGATTTAAATCAGGGGATTTTTGGTTGTTGTTCTTAGCCTGGGGGCCACATGACATTCTGTGCAATGTTTCGGGGGCCTAATGACCAGTGGTGGGCAGGGCCAGAAGAAAACGTAGGCAGAGCAACAACAAAAAACCTTGCCTTTGTATAGGTCCCCTCACCCGGGCCCTCATAGTGACCTAGCTAGGGGGCGGGAGATTGATGCTCCCTCTGTGCCAACCCCCGCCATGTCACCCCTGCCCGGCCAAACCATGCCGGCAGGGGGCACGGCCACAGGTAATTTAAACCGTGGCAAGGCTGGGGGCTTCCCACTCTAGCCTCCATGCCAGATCTCCTTACCCATCCACCCTCTTTTAAAGTTTTGGTTTGACATGACCTTGCTATGGACAAATGTCCGCTGCCTTGTTGTTGGGGCCGGGTAGGAATTTTTCCACTTGGCGAAATGGCATCTGCAATTTGGCTCTCCATCGTCACAACTTTGTAAGGTTAGGCATTGGGTAAGCCTTTGTTTAAGGGAGGGGAGGTTGTAGCCTCCACCTGCCTCTCTTCGATAAGGGCATCCTGTTAAAGGGATCCGGGGTGTGTGGATTCTGTCCAAAGCCCAGGTGTGGGCTAGGGCCATGCCACTACCCCAATGGGAACCCCTCGGGGTGCCCCTATTTGATGTAAGTCATAGGGCTCCCCCTTCTGGTGCTTTGCCCTTAGTTTGACCCCCTGCAGACAGGCGGGTGTCAAGATACAGCCTGGTTTCACCCAATGCCTAAGCCAAACCGCTCACATCCTGTAACCAATACAGTCGTGGCCTGTTTAAGCCCATAATCCAAAAGACTTATGGTGTGTTTATTAATCAGTGCGGAACTACAGGGCACGCAATGGGCTTGTTTCCTCATTTGAACACATTCTTGTCTATCATGCAGTGGCGTAGCTAGTTGCTTGGGCGCCCGTGGCGGCACAAATGCCCTGCTACCTGGGGGCGGGGCAAGAAGCCCATGGGGCGGGGCAAGCCGGGGCAGAGCACGCTGCGCGGAACTTCCACAGAGTCCGCAAGCCCCACGTTGCCGTTTCAGGCAGTGTGGAGCCTGCAGGTGCCTGAGCCACTGCGTCACTCCCCAGGAGAGGCGTGTGGCTCGGGCGCACTGCAGGCCAGGCCCCTCAGTGATGACACCCGGGGCGCGTCCCCCCCACTGCACCCCCTAGTTCACTCCCCACCACTGCATCCCCTTTCTATGCCACCGCTATCATGCAAGTAGCCAGACAAGAACACTCAAAGAGGATGCGAAGCAGGACTGATGGAAAATGTGCTCAGTAGGGTGTTTGGCGTTAAAGCTATGGTTTTCCCAGTAGTGATGTATGGAAGTGAGAGCTGGACCATCAAGAAGGCTGATCGCCGAAGAATTGATGCTTTTGAATTATGGTGCTGGAGGAGACTCTTGAGAGTCCCATGGACTGCAAGAAGATCAAACCTATCCATTCTTAAGGAAATCACCCCTGAGTGCTCACTGGAAGGACAGATCGTGAAGTTGAGGCTCCAATACTTTGGCCACCTCATGAGAAGAGAAGACTCCCTGGAAAAGACCCGATGTTGGGAAAGATGGAGGGCACAAGGAGAAGGGGACAACAGAGGACAAGATGATTGGGTAGTGTTCTCGAAGCTACCAGCATGAGTTTGACCAAACTGCGGGAGGCAGTGGAAGACAGGAGTGCCTGGCGTGCTCTGGTCCATGGGGTCACGAAGAGTCGGACACGGCTAAACAACTAAACAACAAAAGGGTGTTTGGCCTGAGGAGAGTCCCGATAACCTTATAAAGAGGCCTGGAGTGAGCAACAGAGCCTCAAGACTCCAGGATTGGCATGGACCTCTGTCCCCCAACAAGGTGCCAACTCTGGGTTTTGTCGCTCTGCCCTTTCACCCTCTACCACAAGTGGCCTTCCAGTGGCCTTGCTGACCAAGGATCCAATTCAGGCCATTAAGAGAATTTCATGATAGTATATACTTTACACTACAAAGCCATACATTTTGTTTCGGGTGTTTGTTTTTTACAAACATGTAATTTCAATTTACAAAGCATGAATGCACTTTCAAAACTACTGCATGCAGAAATATGCTCTCGTTATATTTTTATGCCACAGTCCAATTGCTCACATTGAGCAGCATTTATTAAGCTGCAGGGAAAAGGGTCATGGAGCTGCTTACCTGGAATCAAAGCAAAACAAGTCCGTCTGTGCAGGTTTACAGTCTTAAATAAAAGACGCACAAGGGAAAGGGCACAGGGAGGAAAATGGAAAATAAGAATGAAGACTCAGGCACCCATTTTTAAACAACCGCACCTATATTGAACAGCTGTGCCAGTTCAATCTACCATAATTAAAAAAGGAGAATCTTGCTGTTCTGAAACTTGCCTTCTGTGTAAAGATTCCACAATTTCTTCTGGTGCCCAGATAGCAGTAAACTTCACATTTGTCTCTCCTGACAAGTCTTGATTTTCATACGAAGGCAATTCTCTGCCAGGTTTCTAGATGGGCGACTGCGGACTTTTTGCTGTAACACGAGACAGCCGCTTCTTTCTGCGAGGGATGTCAGCAGCGATGAGCAAAAGCGACAAATATAGACCACCACCAGCTCTTGTTGCAGGGGAAGATCCTAAACTGTCATGAAGGAGAATGTCAGAAGCTGCTGGGAAAAGTTTGAAACCCCCTTGGGACCCATTCACAACATCCCTCCACTGTTTATTTCCCTGTATTCCCAATTTTCAGGCATGAATACTGTTGCTCAGTGAGTCAAAATGCCATCACATTTGCACATCAGGAAAGTTTCAGCCAGGGCCCGATGAAGACATGCTCAGAGCCTAAGTTATGGCAGATTTAAGAGGTCCCATAAAGGTAAAGGTAAAGGTACCCCCGCCCATACGGGCCAGTCTTGACAGACTCTAGGGTTGTGCGCCCATCTCACTCTAGAGGCCGGGGGCCAGCGCTGTCCGGAGACACTTCCGGGTCACGTGGCCAGCGTGACAAGCTGCATCTGGCGAGTGAGCACAGCACACGGAACGCCGTTTACCTTCCCGCTGGTAAGCGGTCCCTATTTATCTACTTGCACCCGGGGGTGCTTTTGAACTGCTAGGTTGGCAGGCGCTGGGACCGTACGATGGGAGCGCACCCCGCCGCGGGGATTCGAACCACCGACCATGCGATCGGCAAGTCCTAGGCGCTGAGGCTTTTACCCACAGCGCCACCCGCATCCCTAAGAGGTCCCATACGTTACCCAAAACTGAGTTTAATTCAAAGACGGAAGTCAATGAAAGTAGAATAACCTTTGATGTTTGTGCATAAGCCAGGAAAGAGGCAGTGGTGGAATCAGAGCCAGGCTGAGACATTTTGCTGCCACAAAAGCTCCCCCCGCCCCCGATCTGTACTCCCTCCCCCTAGCACCATACCTGGCCCTGCCATCACAACTGCACCCTCACCTGTGGCTGCACCCGTGTTGCTGCCACAAGACAACAACAGCACTGAGGATGCAGCGGCAGTAGAGAGGGCAATGGCCAAAGGTAAAGGGACCCCTGACCATTAGGTCCAGTCGTGGCCGACTCTGGGGTTGCGGCGCTCATCTCGCTTTACTGGCGGAGGGAGCCGTGTACAGCTTCTGGGTCATGTGGCCAGCATGACTAAGCCGCTTCTGGTGAACCAGAGCAGCGCACGGAAACGCCGTTTACCTTCCTGCCGGAGCGGTACCTATTTATCTACTTGCACTTTGACGTGCTTTCGAACTGCTAGGTTGGCAGGAGCAGGGACCGAGCAACAGGAGCTCACCCCGTCTTGGGGATTCGAACCGCCGACCTTCTGATCGGCAAGTCCCAGGCTCTGTGGTTTAACGCACAGCGCTACCCACATCCCCCAGGTGGCAGGGGGAGAACTCAAATCGCCAGGTGGGTGAGAGTACCTTTGACAAAAGGCAAAATTATTACAAGGACTGCGCACACAGCTTGTAGGCTCCTGCTTGGCAGTAGCCAGCTGCAAATTCTAGCAGACTGTCTGGTGCGGTGGCTCTCCTCCTCTCTTCCCCTTTCCCAATTAACCTCCATCTCCAGGGCTCAGTCATGCTTAATGACATCACCGTGGCCTGGCCCCCTCTGTGACATCACCAGGGACCACCCTTAGACCTCAGATTTGGGCCCTGAAATCTCAGGGACTGGGATGTTCCTCTACTGAGTGTGTGCAGCAGTCACAGAATCTCGGCCGGTTGTTTGTGGAGGGACGGAGCCGGCAGAAAGGAAACTGAGTCAGAGGGGAAAGGCCGTGTAGGAAGGCGTGGCTGGCTGGCTGGCACAGTGAACAGGAACACTGCAACATTTTGTTGTCGGCCTCACGGGTAGTGCTATCAATTAGACTGGAAGACAATTTTATCAGAAGTAGATCAGAGGACAAGGTATAAATGGCCAATACAGATCCAACGGTAGTTGTGTTAAATTATTTAAAAGGATATGTGGACAAGGA